ATTTGCTCCTAGCAACACTAAATACATGGAAAAAGTGACTTCTGGAAATCTTCTGAAGTCAGCTGTAGAATTGTATGAAGCTTTAAATAGTCAGTCCTTTCTAGATTTTTGATGCTTAGATCACTTGTGATGGATGTCAGTATTTTAGTTTCATAGAAAGAAAGGTTAGTGAATGTCCCTGCATGCAAATTGAGGGCAATTGTTGGTTTTAACTACCAAGGACAGTGTGAAGTAAAAACATCTACAAAAATAGGTAAATACAAATAAAAATTAAATACTCTTAATGTATAGAACAATTTAGCATTTCAACGCATGTAGGTATTATGAGCATAAAATAAACTTATCTCAGTTAAATCCAATCAAAGGCTTGCTATCAACTTTTCAACAATAGCAGATAAAAAAATCCCTTAAGATATTAATGACAATGAAAGCTATAATTCACATGCTCTCCTAACGTAAGTTAATTCTTCATCCACTAAAACAATTTTTTCTTACAAGGATTCAACAGTTGAACTAATAAAGCTTCTAATGCAGTAGTACTTGAACTAAGCTACATATATCGACTTCAATTAAAAACCTCTCCTCAGCCTACAGACTGAGCAGATTGTTGCCACTCATAGCAGGGCATCTTAAAAAGACAGAGGATGAAGTTATAGAAACAAAAGCCCTCCCAAACACTACATTTTTATGTGGAACTTCAACTTTTATTAGCTTGCTACAGTTAGGATGAAAGAAAAGACCTAAGGAAAAGAACTGTGAGCAAAGCCTTGTGCCTATCTCAGGGCACTCTGCATTAAGGTAAATTGCTAGAACTACAAAAGCATATGCAGTACCTGCAGTATTAACGCAGCACCATCACCTCAAGTAAAACAGCACCCAAGCATAAAAGGCATTGGAGATGGCTACTAGTACCTGAGAAGAGGAAGGTGAGTTGTTACTTTCTTCTCTTAGTTGCTGAGTAGCTTGTCTATCTACTTAAGTGGCTGTTCTGCTGCCAGTCCTGAGCTTAGTAACGTCTAGCTTTCAGCCAGTTTCTTCAGTGGTAGTAGGGCAACAGCTGTTAATACAAACAAGACTCACTTTAGAAATTAATTATAATTTTTTTCAAATATTTTCTTCAACCTCTTAGTCCTTTTGCTACTCTGGAATTAAAATGATTAATGCAGGCTGTAAGGTTCAAAAGCAGGATTTTTGTTTTCTTTTGTTTTGCAAAAGTACTTGTAAAATAATTTTCACTTGTAGCTTGTTTTCTTAAAAGCATCACTTGAGTTCACCCTGCTCTCAGTACTGCATCTTCAGGGCTTTTCTTTCCTTTAGGGATTAACAACACAGTGGAGTTAACATTGGGAAGTGTTACCGCCTACAACTGGAAAACAAAACGGGCTTTTTTTATTCTTAGTTTTTACACAAGTTTTTGTAGCTATAAAAACATCTAGCCAGGCTTCTTAATTATAATATTTAACAGTAAATCTGACAAAGTATTGAAGTATAGACATTCTAAATTATTTCCCTAATAACTTCTCTTCTAATGTGTATTACTAACATTAAATCTTCCCTTTCGTACACTTCTCAAAATAATGCTAACAAGCTGCCTCAGTCAGCAAAAATGTGAGGATTTAGCTGCCCACATGCTCTGCTAAACCCAAGGTGCTGCTTGGACTTAGCTCTCACACCTGTTAAAGGCCTTGGTTTCCTTACAGATCTATCAAAAATGAGCTGAGGAAATCAGGCATTGAGGAGAAGGGTTCAGTTTCTTTCTGCCTTTATTTTTACCCCTGAAGCCAGCTTCTGACTGAAAACAAATTCACAGCGCTGAAACCCCAATTTTGCTTAGCACACCTCATGGCTGTAGTTGCCTTACCACCTCCCTCTCTGTAAAACATGCTCTACAGGCAGAACAACTTTTCTATTTCTGCAGCGCCTGAAGAATTAATGGCATGGCCTGATGTTTTGCACAGATCTGTGTATAAGCTATTTCTCTTTGAAGGACTTAAAACAGGAACTCATAGCAAATGAAGTTGAGTAGGCTCACATTTGATGAGTTAATGAAAATATTGTAGAAATAGCTTCACTGCAATGGCTGTTTCAGTAAAAACCATGCCATATTGTTGGAAACTGTTCAGTCTTCAGTTTCAGTAATTTATCTTGAAAAAGAAATGAGTGACTCTTGTAAAGGAGTTTATTACACTTAATGCAGAAGAGTAAACCCATAAGTAAAACTCAACAAATGCCCTTTGTATTTAAAAGCTACAAACACTTTAACAACAGTTAAGAGAAATACATAGCAAAGATTTAATTTCATATATTAATGTTCTTTCTTCTGCATATTGTAATACACCCTTCTGTCCTACTGTGGTGACACAGAAGGATTGCAAAGACAACAGAAAGTCTGCTAAGGCACTGCCTTTGTGAACAACATGTTCTATGATCTTTATACTTGACATCTGTATGATATCAAGTGCAGGGAAGCATCTGAGGAGAGTGGCTGAAGCTTATTTTTGTATTTGCAAGGATTTGCACTGAATGAAGAATAAGATTTATTTTGGAGGCTAAGCTAAACTGAATCAATAGATACAAAGCTTAAAGCATCTTTTACATTAGCAGAAGTGAATCTAAATGTTTTTATGAGCATGCTGATTTTTATAGCAAGCTTATTTTATTATAATTATAAAGAAAAACATTCTGCAGCACTCTAATTGTATGTTATTTAAATCCTACATTAGTAGGAATAGTCAAGGGAATTTAATAGGGTTCAGGGAATAAGCTGTTCCAGGCAAACATTTCTAATGCATCAGTGTTGCAGTTTAGTTGTCTTCTATGTCCTTAACATTTCTTAATCTTCTATTTATCTTTTTCCTAAAGGAAAATCTGTCATGATTTAGTTTAACTTAGTTTATAGTAAACAACTGTATTTTATTGTTGATTAGTGCTTTCTCATGAAAAAAATAAAAATAATTTTATCTGTTTGAGAATTTACTAGTCTTGATGCAGTCAGAAGAAGTGATTCTCCCTCTCTATTTAGCACTGATTCGGCTTCATCTTAAACATTGTGTGCAGTTCTTGCACAGGATATTAAGGTCCTTGATTGTATCCAGAGTTGGGCAGCAAAGCTGGCAACAGGGCTGGAAGGCATGTCCTATGTGGTGAGGCTGAGGACACTCACGTTACCCACTCTGGTGCAGAAGATGCTGAGGGATGACCTCACTGTTCTCTGCAACTCCATGAGGAGGGGAAGTAGAGAGGGAGGTGCTGGGATCCTCTTCCTAGGAACATAGAATAGGGGAAGGGCACAAAGCTGTGCAATAGAGGCACAGACTGCTTTAACTTTTGGTTAGCATTGAAGGGACCATGACTTCAGACTAGATAATCTTTGAATACCCCTTCTATCAAGACAGTTCTCAGCTGTGGTCTAGGCTGTTTCTTTTCAGTGGTAACAATGAAGTCCTCTTGCAACAAGACCTGAGAAAGTATGATCGTTCTGTGTGGATTCTGAGTCGGTCGGTCAGTTTTAAGTCCGTCAGTTAGATCAATCGCTCTGGATCAGATGAATGATTGTGTCAGACAGCATTTAGGGAGTTTATAGGACTGCTCTGTATGAGTAAGAGGATTCTATGAGTCAGTCTAAGTGAGTCTGATCAAAGTCTGTTGGATAGATTCTTCTCAGTCAGTTGGTTCTGAGTTAGTTGGATCTGAATTGGTTGAGTGGTCCATTGCAGTCAGACGGTGGGGTCTGGGTGAGATGGTCTGTTACAAGTCAAATGGACGGTGTTGGACAAATAGTTCTAAATTGGACTGATGGTTGTCCAGCAGCTCTTAGTGAATTGAATGGAAGGTTTTGTATGAGCTTGGCAGCTCTACGTGAGTCAGTCAGTTGCTTCTAGATCAGGATGCCAGTTCTGAGTGAATCAGAAGATTTTAAATCAGACAGTTCTAAATCAGTCAGTCATTCAGTTCTGGGTTGGTCAGTTCAAAATGCCTCCAACAGATGGTTCCAAGTCTGTCCCGGGAGAGTTCTATATCAGTTGGTTCTAAATGAGTCGGCTGGTTGGTTCTATGTTGGACTATTCTAAATGTGTCATTAGTTTGATTCTAAGTTGGTTCTGTGTCAGCTAGTTCTGAAGGCCCTACAGCCTCTTCTGAATTGGTTGATTTTAAATGAGTCACTGGGATTACTATAGGTGAGTAGGTCACACTGTTCTAGATGAAGCATTTGTTTACTTTCTGAAGATAGCTATCAAAAGGATTTCCATTTTGGTGTGTATTTAGACTTAGTGTTGTGACTCCATTGCTGTCTATTTAATACAAACAGGCTGTCACAGCTTTTATCACACTGCCTAACTGGTTTGGAGCAAACTGAATCGAATGTGATAACAGCACCATTATTCATCTTTATCTGCACTACGCAGGTCTTCATAAAGCTGCGGTCTGTGTACCTTTTTGACTGCTAGGAACAGGAAGATAAATGTGACCCACAGAGTTCCCAGACTGCTGATTTCTTTGCTTCTTAGTATTGCTAAGCATACTAAGAAGAATACTAGCAAATATCCTAGTCTAATAAGGACATCTAGGCATTTAAAGAGCAAATACACACAGAGGCAGTAGTTGTGGGTGTGGCTTTTTTCCCACAGAGGTCTGTGTCTGTCGTGCAAAGCTCTGCTCTCTGTTGAAATCACTTTTCCCTTCAACACCAGCTAGCTCCATCACGTTCATTTCTTTCACGCCAACATTCCCGCCGACTTGCTGTCAAGCATAAGAAACCAAACCACCAGACGCACCGCACCGGCGGCCCGGCAGCGCCCTTTCCGGCGCGCTCCGCGCCCCAGCTGCGGGCCGGGCTTCGCGGTCCTCCCGCACACCTCCAGCCCGTCTGCTTCCGGGGCCGGCTCCCGCGTCACGTGACGCGTGTGTTGACTTCCTGGTCGCGCTCCGGGACTTCCCCGCGGTGGCGGAGGCCGGCATTGCGGCCGGGCCGGGCCGGCGAGCGAAAGCGATGGGAGAACGAGGGAACCCGAGCGGAGAGCGCGACGGCCCGCGCTGCCCCTCCGCCGAGCTGAGCGGCCGCTGCTGACCGCCTGGCTTGCCCGAGCGGGGACCGGAGAGGTTGGTGCTTGGGAGGAAGGGCTCCTCGGGGGGAAGCATAGAATCGCCTGGGTTGGAAAGGACGACGATGGTCATCCAGTTTCAACCCCTTGCTATATGCAGGGTCGCCAACCACCAGACTGGGCTGCCCGGAGCCACAGGGAGGTGGGAGTCGGCCTCGGGTCGGCGTTAAAGCTTGTCAGACAGCTGTCTGCAAAGCCGGGTGGGTTGTTGTGACGATGGGTTGCGCGGGGCCCTGGGCAGCCTCGTGTGATGGGACGTCCCTGCACGCGGGATGGGGGTTGGGGCTGGATCGGCTTTAAGGTCCCTTCCAACCCCAGCCGTTCTGTGGCTTTGTTCGTACTGAGTGTAATGGTGTAGCAGCACATAACACTGTCAACTGTGGAGAAATTACAGCTTAAATTCCTCATGCTTCACCTGGCAGGGAGATTAACCTTCTTAAACAAGTCACTTTTCCACGCCAGGCCTGAAGGGGCCGTGACCAAGTGAAGTGCTTGATCTACAGCTCAGCAGCCCTGCCTGGGCCAAAGGACTTGGATCTTTGAGGTCCTTGAGGTCCCTTCCAGCACAAGCCATTCTATGCTTCTGTGATTCCAGCAGCCTGTGGGTGTGGTGAGCAGGTCAGGATGAAAGCTGTCCAGTGAGCAGAGCTTTGGCATTTCTTGGAGAACACTTGTTTCCTTTTCTGTCCCACACTGTGTGTGTGCAGTGACATCAGCATACAAGGAGCCAATTCTGGAAAAGGCAGAGTGAGGACAGAATGTTATAGCAGTCTTCTCTGAGCTTTGGAGGTCAGCTGCTCCCCTGAGACAGAGATTTCTGTGGACTAAGAGAAACATTTAATTTCCTGGATATTGGTGTGCTACTACTGCTAGCAATGCCAGTTATTGGTATGTGTATGCTACAATTTTTTTTCAGAGAAATCAGAACAAATCTACTAGTACTACATTTAGCTCCTGAGATGATGTCCAATAGTTTTGTCTTTTGTATGTTGTGATGACCAAACCAGTAACCAGTGCTTCAGATGAGACTGCACAGAGCAGAGTGGGATGACTGCTTTCATCATCTGAAGGCAGTGCTAGGCCATTAATAGTCACATGTCATTCTTACTATAGAAAATAGTTGGTGATGATAAGATGTGACAACACATTCATGGAAGAAAAAATGATGTTTGGGAAGGGAAGTATAAGTAACTTGAATGTTGAAAGTCATCCACTTACAACTTCCTGTTAGCAAACTGTATTCAGATGATCATGGTTGTTCAAGGTAAACGTAATGAAACATAAACCTGAAAATGTTAGTGAATTACAGGATGACCAAGGGCTGTCAGTGCAATTCAGTTGAACTCTCCTTTTTATTGCTGCAGCAGGTGGGGTGTTTCTGGTTTAGTTAGTGCAGTTACACAAGGCTTTCACAATATCTTATCTCTGAATGTGTGAACTTACAGAGTATGAATTTATCTGACAGTTCAATTGAGCAGGAGGAAACTTACGATTGGGCGCTAGTGCTCATGCTTTACCAAAGGTGACAGTTTTGGAAAGCAAAAGCAAATCGACCAAACAACAACCAAAAAAAAGCAACCTTCTTAGTTTACCAAGATGTTGGTGTGTTTCTTTCCTATAAACATTTTTAAATGGGAAGGAAGGAACACCAAAAAATGTCTATTAAAACAATAGATAATGTTAGTGTGAGAACATACAATTCTCTCAGTAACCTCTGAATGTACTGTGTTTGGTGCTAGAAAAGTTCAGCAGCCAAAACGCACATTGCCCTTTCTGGTACTCCTCTGGCGCTGTTGCTTCTGATGAATTTCAAGATTAATCTGATTGTTTAATAGACAGGATTATATGATGGAATGGCCTCAAATGTCAGACGATAATATTAGAATACAACTCCATTTTCTTTTCCTTTTCTGATAGTTGACAGGGAAAATGGGGAGGGATGGTGTTCATGAAAAGGTGAACTGAATACGTTATGGTGAGGGTGTATAGCACCTGCAAATTAGCAGTGAAGATAATGCCAGATGAAAACTATATTGCATCCAGATGTGGAGTCTTCAGTACAGGAGAGGTGTGGACCTGTTGGAGTGCATCCAGAGTAGGGCCACAGAAGTGATCCACAGAATGGAACACCTCCATTACGAGGACAGGCTGAGAGAGCTGGGGCTGTTCAGCCTGGAGAAGAGAAGGCTGTGAGGTGACCTGAGAGCGGCCTTGCAGCATCTAAAGAAGGGCTGTAAGAAAGAAGGGGACGGGATCTTTAGTAAGATATGCGGTGATGGAACAAGGGAAGTGGCTTCAAGCTCAAAGAGGGTAGATAGATTTAGGGTAAATATAAGGAAAAATCTCTTTTCAGTGAGAGTGATGAGACACTGAAAGAGGTTGCCCAGTGATGCGGTTGATGCCCCGTCCCTGGAGACTTTCAAAGTGAGGCTGGATCAGACCCTGGGCAACCTGATCTACCTGTGCGTGTCCCTGTTCATTGCAGGGGAATTGGGCTAGATGACCTTCTGAGGCCCTTCCAACTCTATGGATTCTATGACTAAGAGAAAGTAAAATTTATGGAGTGAGTGCTGTTGTTATGAAATAGGCTTTTTGTTATTTCTCTTGCTCTTGTGAGAGTAGATGACTGTTTATTGTGGAAAACTTGAGATTTGAAAAAATTTCTTGTTGTTCCTGAGGAAATCTGGGTGTATGCTCGAGCTCAGGCAGATTTCATGACAGGCAAACTACAGTGATCTGGTTTGAGAGTGTACAGACGATAACTGCATTTCCTGAAGGCAGCAAAGTGAAAGTAATTGGGAGGTCTCACTTAGCTGACGTGGTTGTGAAGAGCATTGAGTGTGCTGAAACTGCAGAGCTGAGTCCTTGTCAGCATGAATTCTCGTGGAGGGCTGTGGACTTTGCCCATACAGAAGGATAAGCAGTGTCCAAAGCTAGCAGCTACTGGGACATGTATATGCAAAGGTTTTGTTTTAAAATTGAAGCAAATGTCTGTTTAAAAAAAAAACAAACAAAAAAAAAAAAACAAAAAACAAAAAAAAAAAAACAAAAAAAACCCCTGTTTCTGCAGAGCAGACTATTCAGGACTGAAATTGCAGAGAACTTGAGCTCTCATGTGAAATGATGGATGCCTGATCTGATGGGTTGGCAGCTCTGCCTATGGAAGGGAGTTGGAACTGAGTGAGATTTAAGGTCCCTTTGACCCAAGCCATTCTGTGATTTATACTGCATTCATTTCCTCCTCTGTTACAGAGAGAAAGCTAATCCACTTAATTAGTACTGTGAATACACCACACTTATATTTCCATTTATTTTAGCCCTATTTGATGCGTTATTATTGTGATTGTCCTTACTTTTCTTATTTTTGGTGTTTTTATTATGACCTATACTTAATGTATTTTCATAGTTAACATTCTGCAAGAGCAAATTGATTCTTGCTCATTTTCATTATTGAGTTTTCATTATTTTGTCTTCCTTCCCTGTTATGATACGTTAGCATTAGTAGACTGTTACTAGATTATGAATGTCCACTCTTGACAGCTACTGTTTCAGGAAGCCTTGGAAGTGGTTTCATAGGGTTTTCTTCTGAAAATGAAACTTCAGAAGAGGATTAAAACATTTCATTTTGTCCTTACGTGCCATTTTCCTGCAGAATGTTGATCACTTTGGGTGACCCTTTGTGGAGTCAGAAGTTGGACTTCATGATCCCCTTGGGTCCCCTCCAACTCCGAGTGTTCTGTGATTCTATGCTCAGGGGAGTGGAAGTCTTGCTTGTTTAAGCATATCACGTACTGTGTCGAGTTTTGGTGCTAACTGCGGGAATTCTGCAGTTCTTTTTGCTGGAAATTCTTTCAAAAAGAAAAACATTACTAATCTTCCTGAAATTAAAGTAGGGGCTGCAACACACTCGTTCAGGGTTTCTGTGGATCAAATATATCTGTTGAATTAAGTGTTCTATTTTTTATGCCTATGTGCACAAACACACCCTTCTATATGAGGCAGGGTAAACCAGTACAGCAGTATAGTCTATACTGTAGTATGTATATATACAGTACAAAGTCTGGAGTCTGTTCCTAATGCCATTGTGCAGCCAAACTCCTCAAGTCTGAGAGGTAGATGGAGTAGAACAGTTCAGACTCCCAGTGGCCTAGGAAAAGACATCAGGAAAATACCATCTTTAGTTTTCTTTCATTTGACATTTGGAGATAGTTTGGAAACCATTCTGTTTTTCTTCAAAGCACAAAATGGGAATCTATTGAAACTAGGAAGAATTTCATGTAATCCTGCTTTTACTGTTTCTCCTCCAGTTCCAAGTATGAGGTTGGGGTTTCGAACTACAGAGTCCATGCAGTGCTCTGCTTGCTATTAGAGCCTTTGCATCCTGAAATTCATTTAAATGGTGTTCTTCATATATAAAACATGTTTTATATTTAACTGCCTCCCATGGTGTTGATGACTAATATTTGTAAAGCTCTACAAAGAGAAGAGCTGCAATTCTGCCTGTTATTAATAAGAAATGGGAAAAGGTTCTTATTCTCAAAATATTGAACATGTTAAATCCTGAAGCTGTAATTGGGATTGTAAAGTTCCTTTAAGTAGGCAGAGATGGACATGAATTCTAATAGTAAACATTAATAGCTTGATATTGCATATTACTTTAAATATTTTAGTGGGAAATCTCCTGTGTTTATTGTTTACCATACTGCAGATTATCTCATGCACTGGAATTCCAGACAGCTCCAAATTCACTCAAGTGCTTTGGGGTGACAGCTGTGTGGCATTTGCAGCAGTGCATACATGTGTAGCTTTGGGCTGGAGAAACCAAACAGAATAAAAGGCAGAGGTCTGTGCTGCCACTCAGCGAGCTGCTCTGCCCTGCAGATGTGGGGAGCCCTCACTTGTGGAATAACCTAATGACATGTAGTGTGTCAGAGACTCTTCTGTTACCCTCCTGCAGTTCATATTTTGTAAATAATGTAGTATAATAGCGGGGAAACCAAATTTTGATTCCTATATTTAAACAACAGAACGAAAGGCTAAGGAGAGGGATTTCCTACATACATAATCCCATTTGTATTAAGTTTTGTTTTTAAGGATTTCTCTCCACTGATTAAACGCTAAGAGAACTTTTTCTCCAATTTTCTTCTTTCCCTGTGACAGCACAGCAAAGTTGTGTGAAGAGTTTCACAGTGACCTTTACAGAACTACTCATCTTACTGTTTAATAGCCAGGTTTATTCTTGTATGAGCTTGTATCTTGTTGTCCTTTGAATACGAGCTTAGCAGACACAGGAGAAATAACTTTGGGATTTCTTTTGTGTGGGTTTTTTGTTTTTTCAGAAATGCACTTTTCTTAGTTTGTTTTATAATTAGGCTTTGATAATTTATTTAGATACGTTTAGCAGTGCTGTTATAAGTTCCTACTGCAACTTCTTTCATGTCTTCATGTTGTTGGCATGACTGCAGTGCTGACTTCATTGTATGCTTTGTAAAGCTGGAACAACTGCACTTTTTTGTCACTGTAGCAGTAAGATACGAAGTGTGGATATTATGGATACTTTCATTTTTCACTGTTTCTGTTGAAAGTACATTGTGAATATCTGGTGAGTTTCCATTCTTGACTGCAGCTGTTGAACTTCCAGTCCAAAGAAGCGTGTTTTGTGATAAAGCCTGTTTATTAATTGAAGTTAATGGTCTAAAAATCCCACTGTTCCTTCTGAATATTCGACTTCATGCATTTAAGCATGTGCAGTGTGTGCTGCCTCTCTCCCCTCAAATTTACGCGTTGTCTGATCTCTGAGAAGATGGAAGAAATTGTCTTTCCCAGTCTCATAGGGGAACTTCTGTATGGTGGAGGCTTTGTTTTCTCTTAGCATGTCATAAGAGCAGTCAAAAATGTCTGTAGCAGCTCTTTCTGAAATGTTAAACTTATGCACTGTTGTAGAAGAGCATGTGTTTTAAACCCCTTTGATTGCTGTGGGGGTTGATTATCTGTACTGCAAATAGCTTCCTGCACCAGTTTAGAGAGGAGTATTAGAAGTCTAGCGTTCAGTAATACTGTAAGCTAAATGAGATCTCTTAAGTGAAGATCAGTGTAACTGGTTCTTCTGGTGGGCACTGTTGAAAGGCATGCTTGGATTTATAAAATATTTGTATATGCTGAGTTGATGACTTATTTGGAAGGCTTGCTCTTTTAGAATAAACCAGCTGGTTTCATTATGTTCATTTCTTTCATTCCATCATTTATGTTAGCTTGCTATGTAATCAGGAACCAAAGGATATGTTTGGGAGAGCGAAGGAAGTTACTTTTGATGCTATTAGCATCCTTAATTTGCTTAAGGGTTGGGGGAAATGCGCTCAAATACTGTATGGTGTCCATTAATATGGCACGTAAAGGCAAGGAATCTTGGTAACCAAATCAGTATTGAGTGTATTGAGTGGCTTTGAACTTGTTTATGATAACGAGTACCATTAAGGGAAATGCTGTTGGGACTTCTGCCTTAAAGCCTGGAGTCTAAGATAGCACAGTATGTGTAACGAAAGCTCAGTGTAATGATTATTTAGTATTTGTCATCCAGGTGGGTTTGCCTAGTGATGGCTGCCAGTTTTTTTTACACAAATGTTGAGATAAATCATGCCACTATGTATGCTTTAATTCACACATTGCAGTTGTATTATAAAACTTGGGAGGAGAATGAAGACTTGCATTCAAGAACAGATCTAACTTGATACCCTCCTTTTGGTGTGCCTGTTCCCAAGAAGCGTAATTGATTTCCTATAACTGTAACCTTATACTGTAGCTCAATACTAGCGTGCAAAAGCTCTGGTGAGACATTGCTTTTTTTTTATATTTGTTAACAAAGTTTAATGGATGATGTTACATTTTAATAAAAATGAGAAGGTCGTAAATCTGATGAATGCTCAAAATATTTGTATAAAGTAACAGTGAAAGATTTTTTTCTAAAATTATTTTAAGATATAAAATGGGTCTCAAGATTTTCTGTAGGATTGAGGTGAGACTCGAGATGAATTTGTCTCAGTGAAAATTTTACTCACATCCGTCTTTTTAAACAGGTGTCATGGAGGAGTTGGTGGAGGATGACATCTGTATTTTGAATCATGAAAAAGCAGACAACAGTCATAAGAGAGATGGGGAGATTCCTGTTTCAGCTTACAGTGGGGATGAGTCTGTTGCTTCACACTTCGCACTTGTCACCGCATATGAAGATATCAAGAAGCGGCTAAAGGAGACAGAGAAGGAGAATTCCTTTCTGAAGAAAAGAGTGAGAATTTTAGAAGAGAAGGTAAGAAGAAAGGCAATTACTGTCTTTACCCAGAAACAAATGGGCTTTAACCTTGGTTAACCTTGGTTAACCTTTCTGAGTTTCAAATTTCAAAGGGTACAGAAAGTCAGAAGGTTTGGTAAGGTACATATTCTATATGAATGCCTATATTTGGAAATACTTTTTCAGGGGGCAGGGAAAAATGAGTAAAGGGCAAAATGAGTAGTAAGTGTACTTTTGAGGGCCAGTACAAAAGTGAAGGGCAGAGATGCGCTATTCTTATGATTTGGTTTCTCATTCTTTCTTTAAATTAAGACCTAGAAGAGGAAATACTCAAGGTTTTGGTTTTGTGTTTGTCTCATAAAGCTCTTAATTTTTAAGGAAATATTTATGAATCCTTCATGAACATCTGTGGCAGTTATATTGAATGCTTTCAAATGCCTGGATACTTTTATAACATATGCGCAGGAGAAACAAAATGATAGTGTGATAGTCAAAACAAGAGCCTTCTACACAAGCAGGTGTGATTTGAACTTGGAAAAAATATGGTTAAGGAATTGTCAGTATCAGTAATGGTGACTTGTGGAGTGCTTTCAGTACACAGCAGTGAGCTAGCAGGCACTATGTATGGCTCAAGATACCAGAGTTCATGGATGGCTTTTGGTGTGCTTTCACATTAGAAAAATAAATAAGTAAAAATCATCCATATCAAGTTATTCTAGTAATTTCTAATCTTAAAAAAAATGCAATTACTGAATTTTGGGGTTTTCTGGGTTTTTTTTAATGTCTAATAATAAAAACTTTTATTTCTCATCTCATCTTAAACTTGCAGTTGCTTGGCTCTCGTCTGGAGGAGGAATGCAGTTCAGTTGGACGTGAGCAAGTCAACAGGGCGTACCAAGCCTACCGAGAGGCCTGCATTGACAGAGATAATCTGAAAAGCAAACTGGATAAAGTGGTATGTCTTTTTAAGTAAGGATCTAAACACAGGTGAATACAACATAGTTTGTAGATGTTATCTGTGGAATGAATTTTTATCTGCTGATTATCTGAGGTAGTAGTTTTATCACTCTTTCAGGTGTATACTTGGTGATGCTGTATGTTGGAGAATTAATACTCTTAAGTATCTTTATTTTCATACAGGGCTAGACAAAAAAAATCAAAGCAGTATTTATTTGGTATCTAGAAAAAAAAAAGTTGAATTGTCAGACATGATAGAAGAAAACTTTCTCTATGTTTTCTTTTCTGAAAATAGATGAAAGAAACTGCAGAATCCTTGAAAAACTTAAATGAACAGTTGCAGTCCAAAGAAGTAGAGCTCTTACAACTAAAAACTGAAGTGGAAACACAGCAAGGTACTCAGTTACTCTGTCTTGGTATATGCTGACTATTTTTAGTGATTATATTACAAACTAAGGGCATTAAGAATTTTAATTCTCTATAGTGGTTAGGTAAAGAAGGTGAAATACTGTACTTTGAGTTTGTGTTGTCTTATAAATGATGACATGCGTGTTAAATTATGGGGAGACAAGGGGCTCCATGGTAAAGACCTGAGGCTATTTTGGCCAATATTACAGTGCTTAAATTGCATTATTTTCCAAGCATGTGATGTGCTACTTCCACTGCATGATTTTATGCAGTTGAACACTGGGGATTTTCTTTCTGTTGTTCTGCCTTCTCTAACTAGCCATCTAAGACTGGTGAGATGCTAGGATCTTGCTAGCTTGCTTCTTAACAGTAACTACCTGATATTATTTCTGTCTAATGAAGACTTATCTAACTTCTACACTCTCCTTTTCTTTTGATTGCATCTTTTGTTTTTTCTATTCGGAATTTCTTGAGATGCAAACTTGGGAAAAAAAACATGGGTAAATTATGCAACAGTATAAACAGGAGGAGAAGAGGCTCATGTTTTCAAAGCATTGGAAGAAGTGTGTAAGTTGGTATATACCATATATTTTTGTCGTTAACTGATCTTTATATTTGCCAGGATTAGGCTGTCACACAAGGTATGGACTGGTTGAGGTGAAACCAGTATGTTTATGGGAGTTCTTTAACTGGGACTAAAATCTAATTTTGTCTTTTTTTTCTTTTTTTTTTTTTTCAGTTATGAAAAGTCTGAATTGTTGTACTCAGACCAGCTGGGAAATAGAGAAGCTGAACAGTGACCTGAAAGTGCACAGTCTGGAACAGGATCTAGAGAACCTCAAGCAAGAGTGCAATAGTCTCAGAAAGGAATTGGAGAAATATAAACAGAAGGTACTTCCATTTTTAAATATTTTTTGTATGAATAGTTTTGATTTCATTACAGCATTACTTTGAAAACCCTTTTCAAGCAAAATAAAAGGTAAATAAATAGAAGAAAAGAATCTCATCCCTAGCACATGAAATAATTTAAGGCTTTGTCTGCATGAGGAAGTCTCAGCTTGCTGAATAATCTTTTAGGTCTGGCATATCTTCAAGGGTAATTGAGCCCAGTCTTTCACAGTTACAGGGGACAAAGCTGACGCTGTAAGTTGATTGCCCTGGATGAGGTTACAGGTGAGACCTGGATTTGGTAGCTGGAGGTCTTACCTTGAATTGTCCATAGGAGTGGTGAAATAGAGGGCACAATAGGATCTGAACGTCTGAGGCTAGAGGAGACTGTCATAGTGCCTGAAGAAAATTAAGAATTGAAAGAACTTGAAAATCTAAAGTACTAAATCTAAAAAATAAAGTAAATAAAAAATAAAGTAAATCTAAAGTAAGAATGGAACTGGTTGTGCAAGTAGCTGAAAAGTGAGAGAACCAGTAAAACTGTTCAGTTGCTTTGTCTTATACCTAAGAACTCATTCAGACATGGAGGCAAAGATTTGTTAAGCCTAAGATAGGATGAATTTAAGATGATAAAGCAGGAACTAATGGGGTGGAGTTGATAGTTTGCATAAGAAAATTAAGGAAAGATCTGAGACAGAAAAGGCAAATAGCAAATACAGTTGAAGATAAGCATCAGTGTCTGCTCTTTCCCTCTCTTGTTCACTCCTGTTTGTCTTATGAACAGTAAAAAGGACTACAGTAAAAAGGAGAGGAGGGGAATGGTTGTGGAAGAGGGATTGTTTGGAGAAAATGGCAAAATAAATTTTTTTACCAGTACATTTTCCATCAGGACTTGAAATAAAATACAGGTTTTCAGAATTTTGCCACTGCCTCTTTGATGTTCTTCTCCCCTGTTTTATGGGCAGGTAGCCGTTGTGAGGAAATCACTGCATCATGTAGATGTGGTTAGGACCTCAAAAAAGAAACACTGAGTTACCCTAACAGTAATAAAATACAGTAAAGAAAATAATTCAAAAACACTAAAACTGGTGCATACTTAATACTTTACGTTTTATAGTGGCAGTCTCTAGGACTCTGCAGTCACAATGAACGTATACAATAGATTTAAAGGAGTTAAATGTGATTGTTTCAAGAGGCTGGCTTATACGAAATTTTGTTTCACATGGTATTTTTGAGTCATGTTCACGGTACATGGGACTTAGAAGCAGAATCAATCCTTGCATGGCCATTATCCTGCTTTCCAATAGGATTTGTTTTAATGTGGAAATGTTTCTTTAGCTCTTTTTCTCATGGGCACATGTACATTACTACAGAAATTTACTTCTGAAGCAAATCTCCTAATCATCACTGCCTTCTGTGCCTTGCATTGTGGAGCAGCCTGGAGTATGGGAATTAGATTCCTTTTTGATGAAACTAAGAAGATGCACCCCAACTTCTGGGTATTCAAAGACGAGGCATAGCTAGATTCAATTAATGTCCTTCTCCCTTGCTGCCCTCAAAGCATGTATAGTTGGAGCACTGGATTCTCATCAGAACAAGTCTCTAAAGATCTGCTGCCATCAGCAGCTTACACAGATGCATACATACACCAGTTGTCTCAGTTCTAGTCTGTTTGTTCCACTAGGTGGGGGTAAAACATTATGTGGAAGGTATGCAAGGTATTCTGTTAATCTTCATTGCTGTTGGTTGTTTTCACCTAAATCTGGCATTATTTTAGATATTTTTCAGTAACTTGTAAGTTCAGAAGGTGTACTTAAATTTCTGTGCACTTTTAATGTCCTCAGGTAGTTTTATAGAAATGAAGATTGTAGATTTCAGTGTAAGAATTAATGTTCCTGGAATGAACAGAGTAAAACAGCATTTGTGAGGAATACTAGACATAACTCTGAAATAATGCTTATGCTAGCAGCTTTTGTTTTAGAGAATAAACAGAAGGAAAAATCTCTCTCTTTTAATATCATTTCTACTCAATCCTTTTAACTACTTAATATAGAAACCAAAAACGTTTTCAAATGTAGGTAACATAGTATAAATGTAGTAATATAGTTATCAAAAACTGAGTTTTTGGAATAGAATCTCTAATGAGCAGTAAGAAAGTCTTTAGAAGCAGGGAGAGGGGAAATTCTCAGGGGAAATACAGAAATATAATGGTAATCACAGGTCAGCATTTTTTTCAAAGTGAGGTGCTACTTTCCTTTTTAGTGTTTTAATTCATTAGCATTTTCAGATGCTTTCTTTTCAAAGTAGATATACTTCCTATGTTTTTTCTATGTAAATATTCTCACTCAGGTTTTGCATTGTGGTTGATGCAATGCGTTGTATGTTATATTGATGAGTTTCTTGAAGTTTTAATGGACCGTCATAAAACCACAGTAACTGGTGCCAGATTCATTACAGCTTTGGCTAGAAGGAATAGTAGAAAGGGAATGTGAAGAAAAGGGGTTTGAGTGAGAACTCATCTCAGATGAGGATCTAATAGAAGCATAACTGGTGAAGCAAGACGCATGTTTGATTTGTTAAACACTCCTGTTAACTTCCACGAGGCTGCTTGTATCGCAGATCAAAGCAGTGGTAAGGCTGGGCAGGACCCCTGGAGATCATCAGCTGCCCTTGCTCAGTCAGTGACTCCTGGACACCAGGACCGTGAATTTGTGTTGTAATTTTAAGCAGTCTCAGACTTGAGGGATAAACTGTGTTTTATGGTAAAAGTAATGTGTGGAACTAAATCTACACTGAAAGAGTTTGCTCTGATTTCAAGGTCTTTTTATATGAATGCAAGGAAAGAAAACTAATAACTGTTCTCATATCTATACAGCAGACTCTGTGGAAATCAAGTTTTTTTGTCAAGTCTTTCTCTTCAAAGCACAAATCCAAGGACTCAGCTGTAACAGTAAATACTGAAAGTATAGTGGTAGCTGATTTGAAGCTTTTTGTCTAGTCATATAGAATCAGCGTGTTGTAAGATTACCTTTGCTGTTTTATTAATGAATTCATGCAGTCATGAATGAGGAATGCTGTCACATAGCTAGATTGTTTAGGCATTTTAAGTGGAAATTCTTAGTAAAACTCTTTATGCTTGCTTTGACAATTGCTGTAGCCAACACAAATGAAAACTACTTGTGATGTTTAATATTAGCTAACTTGTAGATTTATTGCAGTATTTTCCAATAGATTTGAGCTCATCTGTTAATTTTCTTTCCTTTCTTCATTCTGTTATGCAGGACCAGGACCAAGATGAAAATCCATTAAATGGAGACATTCTTCAAAGGCAAGCTGTTCAGAGGTATGAAAATGAAGTGGCTTTCATGTTTCATATTTAGTTTACTGAGAGACAGTTAAATGAGTGAGTAGATAGCCTTACAGCCTCTTCAAATGTGTTAATTCAAACAATATAATCTAATTTAAAGTCCAGGCAATACTCGTTTCGAAAAACCATTGTCTTTTTTTTTTTTTTTTCCCCCTCACTGCCTGTGAAGAGTGAATGTTGTCTATGAAGTCTAGAATGATGAAAATATTTACATCTTCAGACTCTTGTGAAATGAAAATTTCTCTTGAGGGAGATGAAACTCTCTCGGATTTAAAACTCAACTTTTTAATGATTTGTTCAGTTGAGGAGTTGATAGATTATTTTCCGAGTCTCATTTCATTTTTCAAGAATTTCTTCATTCTCTGTATGAGGAAGTTTCTGTGTTTGCTTGTGTGGTGGCTTTAAATTTCTTGCTTAGTACTGGAATGTATATTTCTATTAGGAGCCATGTTAAAGGATTTTTTTAACTGAGGTGCCATTATGTGAGCTACACAAAAAGAAATGGCAGCTTTCCTGGTAATTGCTAACGTAATAGAAAGCATTGTTCTTATTTTACAGCCATTTAAATAAGGAAAATTTGTGCTTATGATAGTGTCCTCTGTTATCCTGTGTTCAGTGTGTGTGCCATATTGGAAAGTAAATATATCACAGAATCTGAATCTTAGGGATTGAAAGAGACCTCTGGAGACTCCCAACTCCTGCTGCTAAAACAGGTTCCCTAGAATAGGTTACACAGCTGGTTTTTGAGTATCTCCACAGAAAGAGTCTCCACATCCTCTCTGGGCAGCCTGTTCCAATGCTCTGTCAATCTCACAGTAAGGAAGTTTTTCCTTGTTTGTATGGAACTTCCTGTGTTCCAGTTTGTGCCCATTGGCCCTTGTTCTGCTGCTGGACCCTTGTACTGCTGGAAAGAGCATGGCCCCAGTCTCTTGTCTTCTGCTTTTTAGATATTTATGAGCATAGATAAGATGTCACATCAGTCTCCACCAGTCTAAACAGTCCCATGTCTCTCAGCCATTCCTAATAAGGGACATGCTCCAGGCCTCGCACCATTTTTGTGGTCCTCTCTCTGGAAGTTCCCTGTCTTTCTGGAACCGAGGAGTCCAGAACTGGACGTGGTAATTCCCTTTATGCAAACAAACAAATGACTGCCTGGAAGTTTCCAGATATTCTGCCTCAAATAAATGACATATTACCTCCATCTCTTATACCCACTTATGCCTATTCATGTACTTCCCTAGTTTTCCACAAGAGGGTAGAGTGTTCCCTCCTAATGTCAGGCTGTTCAGAAGAATATCATCTTGCTTACTGGGCTACTGAAGAGATGAGAGAGGAAATCAGTCACTGAGAAAGAACACTGTAGTGTATCTGTAGATATTTGTTTCATATGTTCTCTGGTGAAATTATGATAACACTGTACACACTATGCCATTTGCACTCTCACTTTCTCTTGTGGTTTCTGCTGGAGCTTCATAGTCTCACATGTCTGAAAAAAGGTGTTAGTTCAAGGTAAAATTCTCAAGGTTCTCTCTTTGTTCCTACAAAGAAAATTTATTTCAAGAAGTCACATTCAGGTGACAGCTGTCAGAATTCACATATGTGCAGCATAGTGTTTATTGTAATGTGATGTACATAATGAGCATGTTGTGCTTTTGGAATACGTAAGTCCATCTGAAAATCTGCGGGGCAAAGAAAAAAGAAGAGGAAACCCTGAAAAAAACTCCTATGTGAAACATTTGTTGTAGCAAGCAATCACAATGTCTATAAGGGAAAAAGGTATTTGCAGTTTGTTAACATTGTGGAAAGTGGTTATTTCACATTTGTCAGCAGCCATCTAATACATCTTTAAATTTTCAGTTTGCAAACCTAGTTTACTGTACACTGAATTATAGTAGTTCTAAAATCTTACATAATATCTTTTAATTTTTTAAAGTGATTATATTATTACCATTTTTAGGCTGGGGACTGTTGGCAAAATATTGGAAACATGTTTCTGAGAGGTGCACAATTCATACATTCTTTTGCTTTTACTCTAGTAATAAAAATAATAAAAAGAAAAGATCAACTTGATTAGATTCAGCTGTGTATTAAAAAATCTAGCTTTGTATTAAAAGAAAAGCAAGAACAACAACAACAACAAAAGTATTGCTTTCTAATAAAGTGTAGAGTAGACAGAACACACAAGCACATACAGGAAGAGAAATTATGATGTTCAGGGTTTATACTATGTGTTTGAAGGCAGTACAGGGTAAACATCCAAACACATAGAAGTTCTTTGTAATCAGTCTGCAGCGAGGTTCTTGGTCATCCCTTTGCAAGGTTCTTTAAAGGAGCTGAACTTACGTTAGAAAAATCCTTCCAGATGGTGCTGTTGTATACTTCACAATTTTACGTATAAATATAACTATTAGTCAGTTTTGATATAACTGATGTTTGGTCTTATTTTTGGTGCTTTTTAAAATGTGATTTTTCTTATTAAACATTCAGTGCCAAAAGGATTCTGCAGTTAAAGACGTGAGGTTTCGTTAAACTTCTTAAAGTATAATGATGGATTTTCTGGATTTCTGTTCATCTTCACTTTCTTACTAGCTAATTATTTTAAATTTCAGCACTGGAACAGTGTTATTGTTGCTAAATATTTCCTATTGTTTCCTATTCAGATAATGAAATTGATCTCTAATTTTTATCCTTTCTGATAAAGCAGTATATTATATAAATTAGGTGACTTGAATCAGAAACACTGCTGGATTATTTCAGTTTGATCTGTGTGTGTGTGCACTCTCTGTATCTCTGTTATTGAGTCTGAAATCATTATACAGAAGTTAATGGTGTAAAAACCCCCAATATCCATTTCTTATTCAATGTTTAACATGGCCAGAACCACAACTATGATGGTATGTAAGGTCATTTGTCAAAAGCCATTCAGAGTTAATAGTCTACTTCTGCAATTTAGTGTTCATTTAATAGGTGATGTATATATCATTTAATGTACGCATTTATAAAGGTTATAATATACAAAGTTTGTTCACTTTATGGTGATCATCAGAAGTGCTTGATTCCTTTTGAATTCTGGTGCTGTAGTAAAATAAGCAATATATATCAGGCAAAACCAATTAACAGTTAACATTCAATGAGCCTTGGAAATGTTAGTAAGTATGGGAGTGCTCCAGAGATGGCAAGTATTTAATGTTGAATTTTTTATTTTTTTTTTTGTTTTGAAAGTGTGCAGCAAGCATATTGGGAACTGAAGAGAGAAATGTCTAATTTGCAGCTAGTGACTGAAGTGCAAACTGAGGTTCTACGAAAATTGAAAACAAACATAACAGCGACCAAGAAAGGCAAGTCAGTGTTTGCAGTAGCAGACCTTATAAAAACACATCGTAGATCCAAGCTGTACCATTTAAAAAAGAAGCTAGCTATCATATCTTATCAGAATCTCATCAATTGAAGTTGATAAGCTAGGCTATATTATGGTTCCAGCCTAGCCATTTTCTGCTTTTGCTTCTGTCTTATACTGGTCAACTTCACACATAAAGGTGTTGCTGATGTGTTTTTCCTTCAGTACTGTATTCTGTTCCCCTTGTGGCTTTTTTCTCAGTCAAGTGTTGCTTATGTGCACAAGGCTGAGGTGTTAAGTTTACTTGTATTTGACCTTTTACCACAACTACTTCATATTAAAAATATATATATTTCAATTGCTGTCTTATTTTCCCAGTTCAGCATTTTCCCGATACAGTATTAATTTGGCAGCATATTAGACTTCAATAGACTGAAATTCTATTATGCTTGTATAATTTTGTTAGCATTCTGAAAAGTTGCACTTTCTAGCAAACTGCTGTGCAAGGTGGCTTTTTCTGACTGATAGTACAGAACTGTCTTACTTCTGCTGCCTTGTGAACAGTTTAGGGGAGAACAATTTCTGTGAGCAGTTTATCAGATGTTTTTTCTATTTTGTGCGTATGTTTCTTGTGAGCCAGATGCTTTACAGGAAGGTTCTTATTTGGTGAGGCATGACTTACCAGTCTACTAGATTATCTCAGTGTTTTTCCCTTGCTTGAGCGGTGGTATTTACTGTGTTCAGAATACAGAAGATGCTGGTCAGAGAAACTGAACTTGGTTACAGTACTTTTGTGACAGTCTTGAGCGTCCCTTTTTTGTTTCTAAACAGCTTTGGGCTCAATGACCCAAAGACAGGATTCACCTCCAGTCACCTCCAGATAAATGGCTGGCTGACTTATCTGTAGTCCACAGTGTTTAATGATAATTCTCTGGAACTTGGCTGATAAATTGTTAACATTTTCAGAAGTGTGTAAGAGTAGGTGGACAACTTTAGTGGAAATGAGAACTTTTTTTTGTATGCGTTGCTCATAAATGTAGATACACTTATGCAGGTATTTGTAGAAAAATATCGGCTTACGCTGAGCAGGGGTAGAATTTGCTTAAAACATCTTTGCAGTGCTAGGTATTTTACCATAAGCAAACCACTTGCTGCTATTAGAATATATATTAGGGATGAGGGAAGCTTTATATTATTTATTATTACTGATTGACAACTTTCAAGGTGTGTAATGTGTGCAGAACAGTTCGTTGCTGTGTTTTTGATGTTAACATTTAGATTCTAATTGCCTCCTACTAAACAACAGCTAACATCAACAAATGTGTTTCTGCTGATAGATTTTTGCTGTGTTTTTGAAGGCCTTTTCTACAGAGCATGTGAAGCTCAGCCTTTATTTTTGCCCAATGCCTTGGAGAGTACCTGATAGTAGGTATAACATGAGCAGATTTAAGATTAAAAACTGAAGTTTCTCCCCTGCTGAGTAATGTGTCTGTTAAAGTGTTTCAGGAATCCCAAAATTGAGAGCATAGAGGGATTTTCACAGAACTTCTCAAAGGTACCAGCCCTGAGGTGGTATGTTGGTCACTGCTACAGTATAGTCTGTAATCTACTTGCAGTGTAGGAAAACATTGTGGCCATGTTTTTGCTTCCCTGTCAAAGATTCTCATCACTGTTTTTTTTGCCAGTTATGAGACTACTCTTTAATTTGAACACTGCAGATATTTAATTTTGACTCGTCCTAATCTAAGGAAGCACCAGAAGTAAGTTTTTCCAACTATTCCACTCATGGAATAGCGTAATGCTAAAATGCTACAGAATTTTGAATATGGCTGTGCTACTTCAAACAGCCAAAGTATCTGAAAAATTAATGTAAATATTTCAGAGAGTAAAGCCTACTTTGTCTATAAATGATTCATGATTACTACCATTTTTCAACTGATGAAGTACTGTAGTAGTACTTGAGATGTGCTGCAGTAGATTCCATTCTCCTTAAGCTTCTAAAGGTTACCGAAATTTGAATGGCCTTTTAGACCTGGCAGGATGAAGAGGCTAAATCCAATTTATCACCATCTCTTTCAGATACAGTGTCTCTACTGTTGGCAAGTGCCTTTGGCTGACATTTGCAAGTTGGGTAACATCCTTTAATTTTTAGTGACAAGTTGCAGTTGCATACTTTGACCAAGATAGTGGCTCTTATTTTTGTTCCTTCAAGAACTAAAGACACAAATCACAGTTCCTACTCCAAATTCTCTGTGAGTTTCTTCAACTATAGGAATCGATTATCTACTCCATTGAGGTAGCACTACAAAAACATGACCTGAGCACTTTCATCTGTCTGAACAGACAGATGTGTATTGTTGCAGCTCTTTCATTTCAGGTAAACACTGTCCTATTTCAATCCTTCCCTTTTTAATGTAATTAAAAGCTTGACAGGGAACTTCAGACGACTGAATGTTGCAGTCTGTGGCTTTACTTTCAAAAGTCGGACAATACTGGAGTACAGGGAACCTGTGAACATGTTTTTCCTCCTTCTGCTTCATGGATTGGGAGAATTCAGTTTCTTGCCAGCCTGAGAACACAACTTGTTAAAAGAATCAGTAAAGTAGGAAGAAGTGTCCTCCTGCGTAAGCAATATTCTGGATCTGGTAAATTTCTCCAAGTGCATGGAAGTCCTCTATTGCAGCATTCATTCCAGTCTTGTCAAAAAAATTATTCAGTCTGCTGGTGTTGAAGTGAGGAATGGGATTTGGTGTTGGGTATATTTACACATTGTGATTTGAGGATCTCTGATTCATCTTGCAAACTCTGACTGAGTAAGTTAGTATATTCGGTTTGTAACATTTAATTAGTAGTTACTAAATCAAAAGATGATTTGAAAATCTGTCTGTTGAAAACCCAGGCTTTAACATACCTGCTATACTGTTGTGCATTTTAGAGTACATGAAAAATGCTCTAAATAATCCAATGTAATTTTAAAACCTTTTAAAATCTTTTTCAGTTGCCTCTTCTGCACCAGTACAATGTCTTGAGTTGAAGAATATTACAAGGCAGAACTTGATGTCTGGGGTAGTGTATAAAAAACTCTCACAAAGTGATAAAGTACTCTGCAATGCTGCACCACCGCCTCTGCCGGGAGATGCGGAGATCCCATCTGAAAGGGTGATTCTACAAGCATGGACAGATGAGAGACCCATTCCAGTTGATGGTAAAACATTTCAGGAACACCATTCTTACGGAAAGAGCTCTCTGGAAGATAATTCCTGGGTATTCCCAAGTCCTCCAAAACCTAATGAGAATGTGTTTTGGGAAACAAATAAGATTTTGTCAAACTGTCCGGCAGATTACCTGGATCAGTGTAATCAAAACTGTCTGCACAAGAACTAAGCAATTTTTAGAATGAACTGTGGCATTTTAGAATGATTCTGAATAGGCACCTTACTGCTTGAACTTTTGAAGAGGTACTTAAATTGGTTGAAGTGGTTTTTGTTTTGTTTTGTTTTGTTTTTTTTAAATATTCTATTTCTAAAACAGAAAACCCTGTCTTCCTCTGCTGTAAATCAGGAGCAAGTTCCTTGAAGTTAAAGCTCTGATGGTATAATGTGAACGAATCTAGCATGGGGCTTAGACAGCCTTGATTGCAAATGGCATCTGTTTCCAAAAGATTACAGCAAATAGTTCTTGAAATAAAGCAAAATTTCATTCTGTATTTGTTTGCTATCTGTGTGTTTTCAAGAAGATATTTGGTGGTGTTCAACCTGTAACAGCTCTGAGCTTGTTTTTGTTGGGTTTTTTTGCAGGTTAAGATACTAAATGAAGATTGAATTATCTCCCTCTCTCCTTTCAATTAACTTTCTTCCTCCTATGGTTTAGAAATGCTTTTTTTATGTGATTTTCATCAAAAAGGTGAGATTTTTGTTAAAATGTATTTATGTGAGATAGTGTCAAGGGAAGAATCCCTTGTAGGCTATCCTGTTTAGGTCACGCAGTTTGGGGCATTATGAGTTAAAAAAGGATCATACGTAACACTGCTGAACGCAGTGATTCCTAACAGCTCAATTCCCCCTGCGTGTTGTGGCTGTGGGAAACTGCCTGAGCTGTGCACGCAGTGCTACCTGCCACAGAATCATCCTATTCGCGGGGCAGTTATCCTTACCGTGCCTCCTTCGCACACCACCAGAACCTTGACTTTTTATTTGTGTGGTTGTTAAAGCTACTAATTTTCCTTATATTAAAGAAATAAAGCCTTAATTTAATTGGACTAGATGTTGATAGGATCATTGTTTCGGTATCCTTAGTACTCCATTGAGAACTGAAGATACTAGATCATGACTGCTGCTTTGTAGACTGTGTGTCCTAGTACTTTCTTGCGGGTTTCATCTTAAGGCCAAGAACTGTTTTTGGACAAATACTATGTATGCCTTGTTTTTTTTAGAAACTTTTGCTTCTTTATCTGAGTTTAGTACAACAAGGTTTAGTAAATGATTTGACAGCTCAATACTTTGCAGGAAAATGCTTTGTATTTTAGATCCATGAAGCTTTTAACCTGTAATGAGTGGGAAGGTGGTACTAAAGATGTTATTTACAGATCTGTGTGGGGATTTAAGTATTCAACTTCACAGGTCCTACTTAAGATCAGTATGATTGGAAAAAATAATAATTCCACAGCTGTTTAGTAGCAAATTACTTAAAATTGCCTGAAAAAGCAAGGGGAAGCTATGACTATGGCATAACCACTGTAATGACAGGCTGTAAAGGTGTTGCTTAGGCAATTGCTACAGGATCTGTGTGGTTCCAGTCACTGCAGTCACTTTCTTCCCTGTGGAATAAATGCTTCACATGATGCCCATCTTCTCCTGTTTCAGTTTGTCTATTAAAGTTGAAAGAATGCCTTTCAGATATCTTCTACTGTATTAGTGAACAGCATACATAAATAACATTTCCCATTCACCAGATACTGTTTTTTTTTTTATCTTTCTATTATCTTGCTCACGTATAGTGGCTTGTCTGTGATTAATGGAAATGGTGTCAGATGCTGGAATTTATTCTGACCAATGAACACATCTGACTCAGGGGAGTACAATCTCTTCGAAAGTAATAGAACAAAAGCCAATATGCATAAAACAAACCCAAGTCACTCGGCTTTAGCAGATAGAACCAACTACCTGTGTAATAACAATGCAGCAGGAAGCATTTCTCATGTGGCTGCATAAAGTACGCAGTGTCTAGTTCCAATGTAGCTTGCTTTTTGGGGTTCCCCCAGCCTGTCTTCATGGAGATTTTTTATTTTAAGAGGTGTATTATTCTGCAACCATCATGAGCACTTCTTGATTTCTGCAATGAAGGAATTCTGTGTAAGGTTTTGAACTAAATTTATTTTTGATTGAAATTGATTTAACTTACAAATCTCTTCTAGTGTTCAGAGTAAAAACTTTTTATTTGGCTTTAAACACTTGATTTTATATAAAGGCCATTCCAAACGTATGGAAGGAATTAATTTGAGATTAGTTCTCTTCCATTCAGGACTAAAACAGCCCACTGAGTGCTTTGGTGTGTTGTGGGAGATGAGTTCCCTTTGATGCTGAAATCTGAAGGAGTTAATTACTTCTAGTTGCAATACATTATCGGGGTTCCACTGCTGTGTCAAAAGGTGCCCCAGCAGCCTGTGACAGCGAAACTTAAAAATGAAGCTTTGCTGGGTGATGTGAAAGAATTACCAGGCTTTACTTCCAGCTCTTGGTTTACCAGTGTGGCTTCTCATGCTGGAGAAGGGGCCAGTAAAGAAAGGGATGTTTGCTGAGAGGAACTTGAGAAGTGCTGACATCTGAGAGAGGAGGGTGAGATTACAGAGCTTACTTTAGGCTGTATTTCCAATGCAGTCACTCATTGCTGTGGTGAACATTTGAAAGCAAGTGCCAGATCTGAAGTCATCTGGGAGCTAGCTTACTTGAGAAGCACCTTGTTGGTCTGAAGATGTTGGTCTGAAACTTTCCCATCTTGATTGAGTTAAAATTTGATTGTTGTTTAATTCAAGTCACTGGTGGCTTAAGGTACTTTTTTCCATTTTCAGAAGTAAAAGCTTTTCATCACAGTGATAGCAAATCAGATGCAGAAGTAGCAGTAGAAAATGGGTTCTGGTGTTTAGTGTGCAAGTGTGCATTTGTTGCATCAAGCAGTAAAATTGAGATAAGGACCAATACCTTCAAATAAGCACAAAAATTGACAAAAATTCATTTGAAGGAAAACTGAACACTTAGAAACTTCACCTAAACCACAGGTTTGGCAATTTTTAATTTAAGAAAGCACTGATTCCAGAAATGAAAGACAGCTTTTGGGCAGGTGGTGGTTGTTGCCTTGTATGTTTATGTGAGCATATGGCAAGCTGATGAATATGTATTTGAATGAGCTGGACTAACCTTCTAATAATGCATATGTAAACTTCCATGTTTGCTTGATTCCTCTTAAGTAATTTTAAAATCTCATCCCTGCCAGTTTTATTGTGTTTACGACAGATTGGTTTTCTTCCCATATGAAATATCCATACTAAAGAAAAGCAAATTCTCAAATGAGCTGTAATGTGCTGTTGAACTTCTACAGCTGGAATAAGGCAAGCTCTATAGTAGACATGTGGTGGAGGTACAGTAAAACAAAAGCCATTGCAAATAATAGAGTATGAGCTGTACTAGAGATGTAAAGCAGATATGATTAAATCTTAAACTCTTTGCAGTACACTTTGGAAATCTTAGACACCTGTATTTTTAATGACAATGTGGCCTAATAAAGGAAGACTGAGATGCTGCAGTAGCTGACCGACTCGCCTGCATTTTCTTCTCATCTTCAGCGAGGTTCTATGAAAAAAAGTGGTGGAGAAGAGGTGTTTCCCTGTTACTTTGTGTAGCACTGCTACAAAAATAATTTTTTTTTAAGAATCAGACTTTACCCCTCTTTGCAGAGGAAAAGCATGCTATTTGGAGTTGTATGAGCTTTAGGCAGTAGATAAATGTATTTAATATTGTTGACACTAATTGTAAACTCATTTGAATTGCGTTGCATATTCCCAAGTCTGATAAGGATTTGAACTATTTTTCTTAAAAATCTGTTGTCCTTAGAAAGTGTTGTGGCATGAACTGAAATTGGTGCCCCTCAATTTGCTCCTTTTAGCAGCACGGGCTTCATTTCATTGCATTTTGAAATCAAAGAGATCGAGTGTTAAAAACAGCAAGGTGGAAGAGGATGCTGTAGTTGATGGTGGTTTTGTGTATGAAGTTTGATGTGGGGGAGAAGCATGAAAAATAACCAGCACTTATTGTTACTGAACTGCAAGTGGACAGAACACTTGTTTCAAGTGTATGTTTTTAATTTATCTTTTTTTTACCTACACTGATAGTTATTGACACTGATAGAATACTGTCTTTAGTGCCACATGGTGGATGGTTTTAAACTGGTGGGACTTAAAAGTAGTTACAGTGTAAGCTTCAAACTTGCTGTAAGCTTCTGCTTGTTAGAGGTAGTGCAACTCCCTCATCACCCACATCTGACTACCCTCAGTTGGAACAGGACAGCTGAATGAGCTTAGTGTTCTGTTTTGAAGTCAGAATAACAAGGCTGGCTCTCACCCTTCTTGACTAGCTTTTGACACAGTAAAGTGTGTTTTTGTTGCTTGTTTTTATTTTTTTTAAGTTGTATTGAAAAAAAAACTTAGAGTTAATTGATGAAGTATAGCTTAAGGCTTTATCAGTACTACTGATGCTTTACTACCTGTATTAGAATAAACTGAGAAGGAAGGAGAAGTTGCTGCTGAGATGAAAACAAGCAGTTTTAAACTTTAAACTGAAGCAGTTTACTGGTATGCGCGTGTCACTGCACAGCACTTACACTTTCATTTCAACTTTAAAAGATGTAAATGCAATTAAGATACTAAAAGCATGGAAGGTGTGAAATCAAGAATTCAAAACTAGGGAAAAATCAAATTAAGGCCATAAGTGCAAAAAGAGTAGGCTGATCCCAAAGATAAGGGCTGAGCCCAGTTCTGAATGCCACAGCAAACGAGAGAAGGTGTGAGTACTCAGTTCTTAAACAAGTGTTGGTAAAGAAAAGTGAATGGTGTGCAGTGAATGATTTATGGCAATTTCAGGCTCGATAGCAAAGTGAGCTTGCTTACTTACTGTCAGCTCAAAGGGATTGGTTACAGCCCTGCACATAAAGCATGTAACAGAATGGCAGAGGAGTGACACCCGCAGGTTAAATAGGACTTTGTCCCATTATCCATATTATTTATACCACTGGTACCAATCAGTGCACTGGGGTTATTGCCACCTGCTGAATGTAGGTCCTGCTAACCCACAAAAGAATGACTGCACTGCTGTGCTATTATCTGACTGACTGGCTGTAGTGGAGCTGGAGTGAGACAGATTCCCATGAGCCCTTAGGGCTGGCACCTACCTACCAGAGTCAGTGCACCACACTGCCTCTAACAGCATGCTTACCCCACAGCCAATCTCTGTAAGAGCCTTTGATAAAAATGACAAACACGCAGGCTTTCTTTCCAGAAACTTCTAAGGATAGCAAGTTTTCATACTGAAATAACAGAACTGCTGTCTTGAAAAAATAATAAACTTTTAAAAGTCATCATCTACCTTCATTTTCCTCTATTTAAGTACAACTGGCAAAAAAAAAAAAATCTTATTTTCTATTACTTGATGTTAAGTA